TTGATCGCTGCTTTTACAAGGGGCTTTTATTGGGGGGCAATTTTTGCAGGGTATGGTAAGCTGTGCAGCAATCGATGAGCCATCAACGTCGAGCCTGTTGTTCCCGGAGCTGATTTCACACGCCGATCTGGTCAGCGTGCTGAAACGTAAGCTGAGCCGGCTGGGTGCAAACGCATCCCGAGTGGAGAAACTCACCACCGATGAACTGCTGGAACAGGTCAAAAAATTTGTGATGCCAAAACCTCAACGACAGGTATTTAAGTTGGTTTTTTTTTCGCCCAACAAATTGCTTTTTTACACATTTTATGCTGTGTAACAGCAGTACAAAACACATATTGTAATGGGATTGTCTGCGTGTGTGTGTGTTTGTGTATATGTGTGTATGTGTGTGCACGCGCATGTTTGTATGTGTGTGTATTTATGTGTATGTGTGTGTGTTTGTATGTGTGCACATGTGTATGTGTTTGTGTGTGTGTATGCGTGTGTGTGTGTATGTGTGTGTGCATATGTGTGTGTTTGTGTTTGTGTGTGTGTGTGTGTGTGTGTGTGTGTGTGTGTCCGATGCATCTTGTTTCCCAGGAATCGTACTGTTAATGGAGAGAGCCGTCGACAGCCTTGCCAGCGGTTGATTATACTTTTGTTATGTCCTGCCCTTGAGAAACTTCCGGTTGCTTCGGTCTGTTTGATAATTTGTATATTAAAAGGTTTTGACTGTTCACTTTGACAATGACTTGCGTATAAACAACTTTCAGAGCCTCGTGAACATAGGCGGGTCCAGGGCGGGGGAGGGGAGGGGGTCGGAACCCCTCCCCAGTGGCACAGGCATCAGTGCTGCAAAAGCCCGGATCTAAAGCTAAAGCTTAATTAAACTAAAGCTTGAAGTAACTCTAAGTAGCAGTGTTACAACTCTATTCCTAGCTTTTGCATAGTTCCACGGTGGAAAGGGATTGTTCCCTGCCGATGTATGACCGTTCAAACTCAAATTCAGCTTTCCTGTGTCCGCGGGTAACATATACGGTCTCCTGGTCGTAGCGTCGGAGGTGGGTGTTCTGCGGAAGTATTTGAACAGTTGGACTCATAGCATGCCTCATCTTACATTAAACATTCGAAAACCTTTCATTGCTAGTGTTATAGGACGAAGATTCGACTCAACCATGGGTGAGGGAGGAGGGAGGAAGGCTTAGTAATGACGTATCGCAGGGATTCAAAAACGCCATAAGCTTGCTTCTAACTGACAAGGTCCAGTTGTGATGTTAAACAGGAATGTATGCAACTTGGTGCATCGGAACATTTTTGATACGTAGATTTTATATATATATATATATATATATATATATATATATATATATATATATATATATATATATATAATAT